TGGAAGGGCTCGGGCTTTACATGGCTTTACGGCTTGGGGGCTTTAACATAGGGGTCTTAATAATTAGGATAAGGCTTTGGAGCCGATTATACTACAATTACACCAAGGAAGCCCCCGCAAAATAGCATCGGTAATCATTCAGGCCTCTAGACTATGGCTCAATGCCTTAGGGCTTAGCTCTCGGACGAGGGTTCTGGCCCAGGGCTTCGGGCTTTCAGATTCAGGGATTAGGGCTTCAAGGGTGGCCGAAACCCTGAATCCTTAGATTTTACCTGGGGGTCCCAGAGCCTACTGTTTTGAGGGTTACACCCTCTAATTAAGGGGTCATAACATTCTATGTTGAGGGGTTTGGGGATACAGGTAGGCCGTAGAATCAAAAGCTCTCTGACAAGTCCTGCCGACCCCATTGGCTCAAGATGATCATGGGGGGCCAAACGGAAGGAAGTGTCTAAATGCAAAAGACCCCGAAACATCAGATTCCTAGAGCTTACAAACGACTGTCCTTCTTAGCGAGGGCTGTTGTATACTCTCCGAAGGTACACAAAAGACAACTCATTGGAGGTCCGAAGAAGCAAACCCAAAAAAAACAACAAAGGTCAGCATCCTGATGCGCGCCTATTTGTGCGTATATATATATACATATATATATATATATATGTATATATATATATACTCACATCACCACATACATAAAACAAGTAATATATATATATATATACATGTAGACCAGTATAAGCATACGTGTATATGTGTAAAAATGGAGATGACATAACTGTGTATTATATATGTAATAATATAGGCTACCCCACGGACTGAAGATCTTCTAGTTTCACTAGGGCCCCCCGCCCAAGCCGCCTTCGACGCCTGTGACAAAATTGTTGCCTGGCGGCATTTAGAGTTTACCTGGGGATCGGAAACCTACAGTAGAAGCGAGAAAGTTGGAACAACAATATCCCCATGCCCTTGGGGTAAAGCTTTGGAATCCTGGCACAAATCATCCAACATCCATGTTCCGACTTTCTCGGGTTCACTATACTGCTTTACGGTACAATGTCTTGGGGTTTGGGGATACGGGTAGGGGCTTATCAGTGTAGGGCTTCCATGGTTTATGGGCTTATGGCTTAGGGTTTGAGGGGCAAGGCAAAGAGGTTTCGTGCCTGCCTTCAGAAACCAGCACATACTGCTTCGTCCATCTTGTAGTCACGATTGTGAAACGCACGCAGCAACAAATTGCAAATGCCCAGGCCAGGTAAAGGTGCAGGCTGTCAATAGCACGAGACAGCATGTGTGAAGTATACTATTCTGTAGGGTTTGGGGATACAGGTAAGCCCTGAAGGACTTAACGGCTTAGAGACTGTGGAGGATAAGGAAGGAAGATTCGGAGATAGGGGGCCTAAACCTTAACATGAAACTAGAAACCCTGGACCCTATACCGCAGCAGCTACACCCCAAGCGGAACCTCAAGGCTTCAGAACTTTGACTTCGTGTCGGGTCTGCCTAAAGCCCTCGTCTATCTTCCTTCCCTAAGGGGTCCCTGTACTCAAATGGTATACACTTTTGGGCTTAAGGTAGTCCCTACATATCGGTACTTTAAAGCCATAGTATATACACTTGGCTACATGGAACCCTTAGAGTCATCACAGGTCTCAGGCTCACTTTCCGGGTCATCTTGAAGTAGGCATACTCTGATATACTATGCCTTACATCCCCAATGCCACAAGAAACGAAGCTTTCAACACAAGATGAACTTACCATTACGTTCGATACTGGCTGACAAGTCGGGTGTTGGAGAGCTGCGGATACCCCTAAACCCTATAAACCCTAAACTCTTAACCATACACTAAACCCTAAATCCCAAACCCTAAATCGTCGCACATCCGTGAACCTTGGGTTGAATCCTAGCATTTTCGCATAGGCCATGGTCTCGGAATCTCGGTCCAAGGTTAAGCCCTAGACCCTATACCCTAACTACCATGCTGTAGGGTCTTTGTGAACTATTAAGGTTTGTATTGAGAACCTAGAAAACCTAGGTGTTGGTGGAGGAAGGTAAACGCTGAGAACCAACCTGTTCAGGGATCCTTATTATGATCTCCTTCTGACGTCCGTAAAGTGGTACGTAGGCATTGATGGTCCAGGATGGTCCAGGTATATGCTATAAACCCTGCATGACATGCCTCCGGATACTGCGCATCTGATAAACCCAGCTTCAACGACCTAAAGACTTGCGATCCACCCTGCAATCCAGGACGGGCCTCTTTGGCATCACATCCCAGGAGCAAGCCTAGAATTGCCAGCTCGGGATAGGTCTTCCCCTGCACGGTCTGAAGGGCTGGGTCCCTAAACGAATGGAGCGCTATCGAGGGGCTCGAGATCCGCATTGTGGAATACCCCCTGTATCGGGAGTTTCCGGACTGTAGAAACCCCTCAAAGGGGCCTTGACAGAAACTTGGCTTCAGGGTTCAGGGGTTTTGGGTTCTCGTTTCCCGAGAAGCCTGCTTGGCTGCGAGGGGCGGGGGTAGAGGGTGGGGGGGCGGGCGGGGAATCTGATGAGGATTGTAAGGGCCCGGAAAGGAGATGCACTGTTCAAAACAAGCCCCAAACCTTACCTATAGTCTCCATTGTAATTCTTTTTTTGGCTAACTACAATCTCTAGTATCGGATCCTAACCACAAAACTGGTTAACCAAAAAAAGGAACTACCATGGAGACTATAGGTAGACCTGGGCAACACAACAAGAACTTAGGGGCCGAGTACCCAAAACGAGTTAAAGCCTCTGAAGTATGGTAGGAGTATATTCAACCCAACGGTTTAGGGTTTAGGGTTTAGGGTGTAGGGTTTAGGGTTTAGGGTTTAGGGTGTAGGGTGTAGGGTTTAGGGTTTAGGGGCTGCGTATTTAGCTACTAAGACAAGCGCTAGAAACCTTGCAAGGAAGCGCAACAAGGGAGCCAATCTTTTACTGTGTGAACAGGAAAGATGCCCGCAAATAGAGACCCCTGATTCATGAACCCCTCTCCCTCAACAGGGAGTCGAATAATATAGGGGCCTTAGTAATCTTTAATAGGGTTTTGGGGCCCATTCCTTTTTTTTGTAGTTAGGAACCACCAAAATAGTATAGGTAAGTATTTAGGCCCTTATAGTAGGGATCATCCTAACGTTGTGGCCTTGAAAGAAAGGCGATCTCCGAATCAGAGGTTCACATTTGTTGGCTCCAAGTGGTCGATGTTGCAACGTACTTGGAGGCATAGGGAACATGGAAGAGTCGGCTGCATATAGGTTGCAACTACCAACTTCGCAATCCAGATTATCCTCCATAGCACAAGTACCTCCAAACAACACGCCAAGCCTTCTCACTAAGACACTCGAACCTATGTAAACTGAACAAGCGGGGGTTGCAGCCGTTCGAGTTCGGTGCGAGGTTGATGTCATAACATACCTAGACCTTAAAATGAAGCGCATCTTTGCGGTTACCTGCGCTTTTCTTGCTAGGATCCTAACATTAAAGAACCTCATCCACTAAACGGTGCTACAGTAACGGGTCTAGGCAGAAGGTACAGTAGTTGCCTGGGCTTGGAGGGATTGATCCGAAAACATGCAGATAGAACGCTGAAAAAAAACAGGCAATATCGGGGCCGCAACAAGCCGCAATGGTCATTTTGGGCGCCTTGGGGTTGCAGGAGTTACATTAACCCAGGCTCATGCAAGAAACCCAAGGACTTGTCTCAGTAACTATGTGGGCCCCTATATTATCTGTGGGTCTCAAAACGACCGAAGCAGTTCAAGCTTTGAAATGCCGAACCCTGAAGCCCTTAAGCACAACCCTAGGTGTCCACATTCCTAGAACGACATACATGGGCTTCAAACTATATAGATGTAGACCCTGGAAACGCAGGCACTGTGTGCCGCCACCTTGGCAGCGCCACCTGCTGCAAATTGGTTTCTTGCAGCTCTCTCTCTCTGTCTCTTTCCCTCTCAACGGCTTCTGGGGTTTGGGGTATACTTAGGGTCCCCTTGAACACCGAGCCCCGGAATATGAAGCAGCCAAAGATCCCAAAACTAAACTCCTAGTGCCGCATACAAATCCAAAAGTCATGAACCTCCTAACCCTGTAACGCGACACCGTAAAGTATCCAAACAATGCCAAACAATGCACGCTTAACGCCGAAATCCCGGATCTCAATATCAAGCCTTAACCCCAAAACCTGAAACCTGGAAGGGTCTATAGGGCTTAGGTTTAGCATGTGGCATTTGGAATTTGGTCTCTCGAGACTTGATAATTAAGTGAATCTGGCACAGGACCACACCAGTTTCGACAGGGCACTCATGCCTCCAGACTCCCAGCACTTTGAACGCCAAGACAGAGACTTTCTTCCCGTGAGACTGCAAAGTGTCGCAAAGACATATGTTCGCACTCATCATGGCCTTATGTCGGAATTCGGAAAACTGCATCTAAAGAGCCGCAGTACACTCCAGTGCAGTCGCGCGCAAAGGCTTCAGTCAGTGTATCAAGAACCCCTACTCGAAGGATGATCGGCACGGAGCAGCTAGCCTTAAGGGTCCATGTACCCAACTAGAATATACTTAGGCCTCGACGTGCCTATATATGCGGGCTACGTTAAGGCCGAACTATATACTATTTGGGCACCTGTACCTTTAGGGTCGACTTGTAGCTAGGTAGAATTTTCAGTACAGCTCAGACAGTGACCACGGGAACCTAGTGACTGTAGGTGAACCTTCAAGCATACACACCTGAAGTCCTAAGCTGAATGTACACAACACAGCATCAAGGCAGCAATTTCCTGTTTTGGCACCTTGCCATCGCACCTCTTGTTCCGCTCCGCTGGCTTCACAGAGTCACTGCCCAGCTTGCAAAGCAGTAAACCCTAAACCCTAAACATACTCCAGCCAACTTACCATCAGAGAAGCTCTGAAGAAGTGTCGGAACTCGAGAAATGCCACTACCCCTAAACTAAAAGCACTATAGAGCCTAAGAGCCGTGCACCTCAAAGCCTAAACCCAACCCCAAGACTCAAAGCATTGAAATGCTGACGCTTCAGCTCAAGCTGCAAGCGGCTTTGAAAAGCATCCTGAATTCCTCCTTGCCGTTGCTGGAGCAGTGCCAAAGCTCTCCGAGATTTCAGAGGGGGTAGATGCTCGGAAATCCACCTGGCTAGGGTTCGGAAATCATGCGTTCGACCAACAGGTCTGCATGCAGTTGTGTGTGTGTGTGTATACATATGTCTTTCTATGCAAAAGATATGTGCAGATACATATATACACATAAAGTGAAACAAACTAATGATTACATGATACATATATGCGTGCAGCATGCATCGATACATCTATATGTACATACATGCGAGTTTAATAATATCACACGTGAAACTCATGGTGCGATCATCAAGGCTGACCTTATGTCTGTCAGAAAAGGGCAGCCCTGAAACACCAAACAGCTGAGATTCCTCACGGAGCGGTCTCCATGAAGCTCCGGATGAATCAAACCTAGCCCTACTCCAAGAGGTACTAGGAGTGGCCAACCATATCCCACGGATACACCGTCCTTTGATCCACCCCTTAATCAAATTAGCGATAGGAGCATCACAAACGTTGAGGCGTGGATCTAAGCAGGTGTCAACGGAAATGCAGCCATGGCCTTTGTTTCTGAGAGCACGAGAGAGGCTGCCATCACCGGAGAAAAGATCGAGGAAAACCCGACGGCTGCCATCATAGTTGGTCGCGATGGCCGTCTTGAAAGCACGTTTCAGCACAATTTCGCCACTCAAGCTTTTTGGGAACTTCGGACGAGCTTGGGCTTGCTTTTTGAGGCGCTTGGTGACTGTGGAGTTCCAGCCCTCGGGGTTGGGCACTGAAATTGTCCCATCAGGAGGCCAGGAAGTCGATGGATGACACTTGAGCCGTAGTCCCTGATGTGGGGAGGGATCCGAGCCAACTCCGTTTGCATCCTGGCCTGCTTCACGTAGCGCTTCAAGGAACTGTCTGCTGCCCATCGCCCCCTTTGTTTTACGTCGAGCAAGCTGCGGCGTTGGGAGAGGACGTCGTGGGTTGCACCTCCGTGTCTCAGGTTGTAGAGCTGCCAGCCCATGTACCCGAGGTTGAGTTTGTTGATGGCCGCGTGAAACTTCGAGTTCAACTCGCTGTGTGAGTGGTTCCACAACTGCTGGTTCGGGCCCTTCCCTGCTTGGAGTCGGCGAAGCAACGGGTCCATCCAGCCATCCGAGTCCAGGAGGACGGAAGCATCGAAGCCGTTGGTCTTCCCTGGGGTCCCATCTTCTATTGGGTGCAAAAGAATTGCCCAATGCGAGAACGCTTGACCGGCCAGCGCCGACATTTGAGGAGGCACAAGCTGCTTGCAGAGAAGCGTGGAGCACTCCCCCGGCCTCAGGTATCAGCTGAACTGAATGAAAAGCCTCAGCGCCAGTTCGAGGAAGCCTTCTGCGATCATCACGCCCATAACGCATCCCAGCCCCTCGAGAGGAATGGGGAGCCGTTGACGAGCTGGAGCAGCAAGCGACCAGCCTTTTAGCGCCCGAGTTGTCCTTGGAAGTAGGTGCCCCGTGCTTCGCCCCAGCTGCGGATGAAAGAACTTCACTGCAGCAAGGGCCCTGACCCCGGAATCTATCCCCAGTCCCAGATCGAACAACTCGTTCACATACTCCACCAATGCATTGTCGAGGAAAAGAAGGTCCGTGACGAAGGCTATTGCGATCCCCAGCCAAATTTCGAACTGCTTCAAACGGCTTTGATAATCCACCAGAGTGGGGCGCCGGATACTCCGAGTTTCGAGGTACGTGAGGGTCTGAGGGACCTTGGTTGACCTTTTCACCGAAGTCCTGCGGGCCAAGGTGCGCGAACGGTTCCTTGCTGAGGACGTCTTCAACCGTCCACCATTTGGCATGCTTCAAAGATACCCACTGCTGGATGGCCCGGGAGGGGGCATCGGCAATGTTCAGTTCTGAAGGAACCCAGCGGACATGTAGCTTTGAACCCGTGGCAAGCCCAAGTGCAGCAAGTCTTCTCAAAGGACTCAAAAGGAGGCGAGATTTACCCCGACCTTTGGTAGCACTGAGGACCAACGGAAGATTATCACTGAGACATAGAAGTCGTTTGCAAAGGTTTCTGCTCGACCTGAGAAGATGCTCAGCTGACCACACTAGAGCACGCGCCTCAGTATTGAGGATGTTGGCTTCGAACTCCCAGGGACGTGACCAAACAACTTTCCAAGCGTCCTTGCACAGAACACTTTTTGGCACCTCGTCAAAACCAAGCTCTCTGATGAAACTCGAAATGCCCAAGGACTCGTCACGGATTGATCCGACGCTCGAGTTGGCTGAAAAGTTAGCTTCATGAGTGTCGTGGTTCAGTGCATGGTCCCTCGCTCGGAGTGCGTCCTCAAACTTGAAGCGCCAACGCTCACTGCAACCTCCAATGGCCTCGACCTCGCCTTTGTCTAAAGTCCTGTGGCAAACACCCAGCCCCCAAGGCGACGAATCACTAGCAGTAATGTCTTGACTCCATCCACAGTTGATCTTCATACGAAGAAGTGGCAGGATGGCACTGAACCATTGCAACTCCTTACGCACGCTAGGCCACAATCGACATGAGCGCTCGCCATTCTGGTGCACGAACGCATAGCAAGAGTTCAAGAGGGCAAGAGATTCTCTTCTCCCAATGCTGGCCCATGTCAAGTGACCCAGTATAAGCTGCAACACTCGGCCACTGCAAAACTGCTTTTGAAGGAGGTCATCAATGGCAGATTTGATCTTACGAATCCGGCTGGGTTTGATAGAAACAAAACCGCCATAACCATTGAAGTGAAGACCGACAAAATCCCCCTTTGATTGAGCCTCCTCAAGCTCATGCACCGTCAAGCCCCAGCCCCTCAGCACATCGCTGATGCGGCGGAGGCCTTGGTTGACAGCGACAGGGCATGTACCAAATACACCGTAGTTGTCAACATACCCAGCTGCTGCTATATCGCCAGAACCAAGAGAAACACTCCGACGCTTGTCACCTATGATATGCTGCTGGTCAAATCCGGCAAGTTCAATGGCGTGACATAACACTTGTTGGCAAAGATGAAGCGCCCAGCTCCAGCCCATTGGCAATACTTTCAAATACGGCGTGACCTGAGTTGACGGCTCCACCATGCCATCTTCAGCGGCAGCGATGCCAGCGTGTCTGGCCTCAATGCCGGGGAGTGTGAACATGTGGGCGAGTTCGTCAGGTACTGCCAGGGTGTAAAAGGCATTCGCCAAGTCGCCAGATGCAAGGTAAAATGGAGTGTTCTCGGGAAGACTCATACGAGTAAAAGCATCAGCAGAGGGAAGATCAGTGTTTGGAGCGTCATGAAACTTCATATTGAGCCGGCGGGTGTCAAATATGAGCCGCAATTGTCCGGATTTTTTCTTGACAAAGAATACACCGAGCATACTGTCATAATCACTGTGTCTGCGAAAACCAATCATGTTGCGATCAGCAAGCTCACGAAGAAAGTCCCCATACTCCACCGTGTTATTCTTAAGGATAGGATCGATGTAAGGAGTAACTGGCGAATCCTCAAAGGTGCAGTCGTCATCGGGTTTGAGCATATGCAATCGCCAAGCCCCAAGCCTTTCTCGGTCAGCCGGAGATAGGCACTCCAGCAAAGAGACTGGATGTGTGCTCACCTCGAGCCAGGATATATTATCCTTGGCATAGGGCATCACGTCACTGCGCCCACTGTCATAGAGGCGTGACGAAGAACAAAGTCCCCGAATACCATCATTTGGAACACCAGAACCAGACTCGCCGTAGGCATCCCGAAAGGCTTCAGAGATAAACTTAAGAACACGGCGCTGAGCACGTGTCGACTTCTTCTTCATGTGAAATTCTGAATTAACACACCCCGCGATCTCGTTGAGTGCTTTGATACCATGGTTAGCGAAAAGACTCCAATCCTCACCACTAGGGCCGGCGCCTTCATCACCACGGAGCTCAGGCAGAGGGAAGATGTTACGCTGACGCTGGCTAGCATCAGCAGCTCCCACTCCAACGCTGAAAGAAATGCATAAAAGAAATGTCAAAATTGTCCGAAGCGAACCAAGGATCAAGGGCGGACCTCGACAGACTCTCACTTTTGACTGCCTTCGTCCTTGTTGGATTTCCGCTGGAGTGCCCTCTCTTCCCTGGCCTTCCTCCGCTCCTTGGCTACCATTGCCTCCTTCTGCATCTCCGTTCCTATCCACTCGGTTAGCTTGGGAGATACAACTGAGCCCACCCGGCTCCCAGCGACGGCCCCCATGAACAAGGCGTTCTCGCCAGCGTCGTCGGCCGCCGTGAGCTTGAACTTGTGCTTCTCCTCGATTCGCTGGATGGCCCTCGCGATTAACTCTGCTCCTGCCAAGTTCGTCACATCCACCTGATCGTATGTCATGAGAGTGTGAAGGACACGGCACCAAGCTTCGTGCTCCTGAGCAGGGCCGTCGTTTGGCTGAAATTTGCATGCCACCCGCCAAGCCTGGTGATGACCAAGGGCCGAGCCTCCATGATCCAACATCTGTGTGATAACATGCTTCACTGTACGGGGCCCACTGATTGGCCAGTCGCTGAAATCTGTAGCCTTCGACTCCGTGACAGCCACCCTGAACTCTTTGAATCTCAAGCCTGTGTCGTCCCGAGTGATTCCTAAGGTGCGTGCATCGTCGCCATCTGGAGGTGCAGTTGGGTCTCCCACTCCACCTCCACCCAGCGCAGCCACAAGACCGGCATGACCTCCACTTATTCCCGCTCCATTCGGCGCTGCAACTGGTGGTCCAGCCAAGTTTGGCACTCCGCCACCTGGATTGCATCCCCCGGCTGCCACCATTTGCCCCACACCTGAAGCACCGACCGGATGGCCTCCGCCAGCCGTTACAAGACCCAGCCTTGCCCGTTCCACCTGAGCATGCCGGTCTCCCTCGTCGAAGAGACGTTGCTGAGCAGCAGCGTCGGGAAGCTGCCTGAAGCCATGGATAGTGCCAGGGGCCACTCCGTAAGGCAGTGGCCCAGCCGGGTCGAAGGGTCGCCACGCCGAGATCTCGCGGCTGTTCACACCGATGTCTTCTATGTAAAGATCTCCCTGAGGAGTCAGAATGACCCACAGGGATTCGGAAACAGATGACAAAAGGAGTCGTACGTGCCATAAGTTCTCTGGCACGTGGTATTGGACGATAATAAACTCACCCCTCGATAGGCCTCCAAGAGGTGGCACACCCAAGTGCGCCCCGCTTGCCATCCAAGGGCCTTATGATGGTGGGTTCGGCAATCTGTCCAGCACCACGCCTGCGCCACAGGATAACACACCCAGATAGCCCCAGAGCAGCCAGAAAGACCACCCCGGCAATCGGGCCTATCTCGATATGTCCAGTTGAGCAGTTCACTGCGGGACACGTGAGTGAACCACAGGATACCACAGGTAACAGAGCAAGCAGGACAGCTTCCCGGTCCAGCCCCCAAGAAAGTGAATCCGAATGCAGCTCCACCGAGGAAACTGATGGCGTGCGAGCTAAGAGGAAAATCAGACATCTCAGAACTTGAGAGGAGACATTTCATGAACGGCTGTTCATGCACATGATGTGAAAAAAGTTCGCAGAACACATATGTACATACATGCATATGTACATGCATACGTAAATACACCACATACACCACATACATACGTGCATACATACCTACGTACATACATGGTTCATTACATACACACATACATAGATCCCGATTGCTGTATAACTGGACGTAACACTTGTGCATGTCGCCTGCGACAACGACACACGAGTTTACGGTGCATTTGACTGCCGTATAACTGGAAGCAACACTTGTGCATGTCGCCTGCGACAACGACACACGAGTTTACGGTGCATTTGACTGCTGTATAACTGGACGCAACACTTGTGCATGTCGCCTGCGACAACGACACACGAGTTTACGGCGCCTTTGAATGTACTTGCATTTGGTACGGGTTCTCGGAAAATCCGTGAAACTAGATGGCATGATGTGATCGCTGTACCATGCCACATATGCACATATGTACGGCCTGTCGGGATACGACGGTAGCGTAATGTTTCACAGGTAGGAACTACTATGAACTACTCAATGTACCGACGCAGCGTGCATGCAAGACAACCAAGATAGCCGAGTAATCAGAAGAGCAGACTTGGTCTAGAGTCTAGACTGCACCCGGCTTGGGCGAACATTTTTGGAACACTTTCGTTTCGGGATGACATCGGCGACAAGTGCCATAGCTCTTAAACCGCCCAATCCTACACCCGGGCACCATTGAACAGTCATCTGAGCTTTGATGTAGAGCACGCCCATGGTGGATGCACCCACCATCGCCGTCTTGCTCAGGTCCTGGAAACGGGAGGGCGAGGGTAGCTGTGAGGATAGAGGATCCCCAGTGCTTTTGGAGGCGGAATCATACAAACCTCCTATCCCGGAGGTTCCACGCACCCGTAAGGTAAACCCCGAAAGGTTGGAAACCGGATTAACGACACTCACCTTAGGTAGTGCTGGGATTCCCTGTGCAGTTCCTTTACGGGTTGAGGCTATTGGATTCGGGTTGATAGGCTTAGCCTTTGCTAGCTGACAGCTTGCTGCGCGTCCAATGCCAGCAAGATGATGCACCCTGATATAGGTACTGCATTCTAAGACCCCACTGAGAAAGGACACCTATTTCGAGACATCCTCCCGGAAACATCATGCCAAGGTCATCGACTGCAGTGAATTCCGTCCTGGATTCTGTGGCTGACAGCTTGAGCGACTTCTGCACGGTCCACACTACTGTTCCTTGGAAACATTGCCAGAGCACCCTAAGCCCTAAACCCTGCCACCCTAAGAAACATTTCTAGAACACTAGGAGTTGTGGCTTTCGGGCTTTGGGGTTACATGCACATCTTCCGGCAAAGCTTCATCCCTTTAGATCCGAAGTACTTGCTGATCGTATACCCCCGAAATAACCAGAAAGCCCACTACTACTTAATGAAGGAAGATACCCAAAAATGTAGGGGGCCTAATATTGTGACTAAAGGTATACTCCTTAATCAAGGATCTTGAGCTCTCTAATTCTGTAAGGGCCCATATACCCAACCTTAGGCCACAAAGTACCTATATAGAGACTACTCTAAGGCCAAGGTATATACTATTTGGGTACATGGACCCTTCTACCCTAAACCCTTAGAAGCCTGCAAAGGAACCCTTCAAGGAAGGGACCCTTAAAGCAACCCTATTTGGGTAGATGGACCCTTGGGGAATACTAACCTATAACTCACTACATCTACCAAGGATTTCGGTCTGAAGTGTTGGGTGCTTTGGACTCTTAAAGCAAGGGTTTAGGGTTTAGGGTTAAGAGTACAAAGCCCTGTATTACCCCATGGCATGACACAACACCCCATACGAGCCCACAAACAACCCTGAAAAAAACATCGCAAAACTCATGCACCCTAAACCCTCACACCCTAAGCCCCCAAACCCTGAATTCCTAAACCCCCTAGAAAAAGCAAGAAGCGTGCCACCCGAGTCTCTGAGTACAGTCCAAGACCGAGTGGAAGCTGAGGAGGTTGGGAAAAAGCCTGCGAGGGCTCAAGTTGGGGGTTTCCGAAGACTTGGGACCCTAGGGTTCCTAAAAGGGATCTAGAAGGGTTCTATAACTCTTTAGAGGGTTTAGGGATTAGGGTTTAGGGGGTTTCCGAAAAATTGGGACCGTAAGATAGTACCTGAAATAGTAGGATCCTTTTTATAAGGACCTCAAAAGAAGGTAGCCCCTAATATCGGAAACTCCCAGTTCACAGTGCAGGGCTTCGGGTGTAGGGTTTACCTGGGTAGTTGTCAAAATTAGGGTTCTAGTTTGGGTACCCTAAATATTGGGTGCCGTATTATACTAAGGACCGCAAAAGGGACCATCATTTTAACCTGGAGATCCTAAGACCTACTGTTTTATGGGTTAAAACCGTCTTGTGAACGGGTCGGGTTTGCGGATAGGGGCAGGGATTAAGGTTCAGGGCCTAGGGCTTAAGGTTTCTGATTTAGGATTTTCGATTCGGGATAATGTCAGGGTTTAAGGTTCATTAAGGTGTCTGCAAGGCTTTAGGATTTGAGATGGAGAGATATGAGTGTATGCAGGCTCGTTCGAAACGGTTAAACCGAGGCCTCTACAAGGGGTCTACTTGTCTTTCCTTGTTGAGGGGGTTGAGGTTTAGGGTTAATAGTTAATAGTTAATGGATGTGTCCTGATCTTCAGTTCCACAGTCGTGAGATTTGGGGTTTAGAGTCTGGAGCTTTCGATTCAGAGTGGTGTTGAGTTTAGGGCTCTGGGTCTGCAGTTCAGAAGATTCCTAAGCCCCACCACTCTAAACCCCCCCAAACCCTCAGATCCCCCTCTAACCCCCCCCCAAAAAAAAACCCCAAAACCCACTCCAAACCCCAAAAATCCCCAAACCCCTGAACCCCTTGAGGAAAATGCGGCAGGGGCACTCCAGCGCCGGCATGGCGGCGAAGAGCTGCAAGATCAACTGCCACCTCCCCGCTCTCCTTGCAGGGCTTCGAATCCTTGATGTAGGGGCCTTAATAACCAGAGAAGGTTCCTTTAGTTGAAGGGGTCCTTTAAAGGACCTACAAGTACTGTATTGTGAGGGGCCTTAATACATAATTAGAAAAGGGTTTTGCAGGTTCCTTATTGCAGCTATGGTAGAATATACTCCCAAACCCTATTGAAATTATTAAGGCCTCCATGGTAGCCCAAAGGTTCCTTAAGTGTCGTTACGGCGGAAACTTTACCAACGCATGATACCAGTAGGGATCCCGAATAGGTAGAGGCCCTACATTCTACTATACAGGTACTTCGGTTGATGATACAAATCCTGCATCACCTTAAGGGCCCTAAACTATGGGAATAATGGTATATTCCTTATTATGGGTAATGCAGGATTTATATCATCAACCGTTAGGACCCTTTGGGCAAAAAAAGGTAGGGTAAATAGGTTGACAGTACGGGGTAGGGTTTAAGTGGTTGAAGGGGAGGGTTGATGGATTTAGCTTTAGGGTTTTGGGGGTTTTATGCAGTTACGGCTTTAGTGAGGGCTTAGGTTGAGGCTTGCGGGGTTGAGGATTTTGTGGGCAGCGATTCTTGAATGCAGGTTTGATTGGCCCTGCAAGCCCTGATACAGTCCGTACGACCCTCATCACACCTTTAGCAACCGGTTTCTGACACCCGTTAGCCGAATTCCCTGTCCCGTGTATTCTAAGCCCATTAGGCCAATGTCATATATTTATGAACGCTTCTATAGTCTCCCAACTTTCTGACACTTCCGTGGTCTTTGCCTAAACCATCAAAGGGTCCAAAGTACCTATATATGTATATATGTCCAAATATCTATAGTAGAATGTAATTAGGGTTTCTATATTAGAAATTAATACTGTGATTTGGGCAAGTATTCCCCATAACAGTACCCAGGACCCTTTGGGACCCTCAAACCCCAACTCCAAGCCCTAAGCGGATCCTGCAGGCTCCAAGCACGGCGTTGCAGGCGATAAGGTCCGGATTCCTGGGATGGAGATAATAACCACGAGGTGAATATTTGCAAACATTTACATATATATGTATATATGTATACATATATACACATACGAGTGTGGGTTTAGAAGTGAAGTAACAAAACTGCCCAAATGAGCTATAGCCACCCATGAGCCATCAACAACATCATGCGTTTCTGGTTGGGGGCAGGGTGTATAGTTATATATATATATATATATATATATACATATAGTTGTTTACTTGTTTGTCTATATACGTAGCAACACTACGACAAAAAGGACTGGCATTTGGCTTAGGAACCACGGATTCAGCACCACGGGTTCAGAATAAACTACTCTGGCCCGACAAAACTGAAACACCAGGATTTAGGAATCTAGGGCGCCGGGGTTGGGTTTAGAGGTTCAGGATGTGGGGTTTAGGGGTTTAGGCTGCAAGGGTTATTGGCTTCTGGTGTTACACGGCTCAGGGGTTTGGGGTGTAGGGCTTGAGGTTTATATGGGCTTCGTGGCTTAGGGTCGGTCTATAGGGTTTGGAGGTTCAGGCTCTAAGAAGAAGTCTCAAATCCTCGACTGGGGCTCAGCTGAAGATGCGGCAAGCTGAAGAGAAGATGCCAGGACAGCTGCCACTGGCCTGCCTTCTCCAGCGCGCTCAAGGCGGCGCCGTAGAGAATAGTGTCCTGACAATTACGTTTTAGGGTTTAAGGACTTTACTAAAGGCATGTGATATGAAGGGTTTCCTCCAGCTATTTGGGATTCACCGGGTGTATACGGTTTAGGGTGTCATCTGCGGAGCAATCCCTCCATTTGCATTCATCCCTCTCACCAGTCTAGGCTTTGCAGTCCATGCAACTCTGAACCTCAAAGCTGTATAGTTCAAAAACTCGGCAAGAAAGGGTACTTAGAAAGCATGTCAGGATTGGCACGTGGAGTTGCAAGGACACTACGGCCCTTGCATATTCGGCCTCTTGTGGGGTACTCAAAATCCTGCCTGCTCCTGCAACAAACAACAAAGCGCTGAGCCCTGCCTACAGTCTGAGACTGCAAAGCCTCCGACTTCCGAAGCAGTACCCAAAGGGTCGCAGGTACTGTTATGGGCAATACTTCCACAAATTGAATTGTAATTCCTACTAGACAAACCCTACTATATGGGTGGTTGTCAAAATTATGGTCCCATTTTGGGTACCCTAAATATTAGGTGCCGTATTATACTAGGGACCCCAAAAAGGACCATAATTTTGAACACCACCCATGTAGGTACGTTGGACCCTTTGGGGTACAGGTGACTGGAAAGAGATTCAGGTTTGCTCATTAGACCATATACTTGACCCCTTTGGCGCCCTAAGCCCTGAACCGCAAACTCGCAATCCGCGACCCTAGGCCCCTTATCCTTGCCATCTGATACGAATCACACTGAGAAGATCCAAATACGAACACATACATAAAGTGTATTTACGTGCACATGTCATAAATGCGTGTCTATATTCCGTCCACCCGTCGATCCATCCACCCACCCACCCACCCATCCATGCATCCATCCATCCATCCATCGATCCGTCCGTCCCTCCATCCGTCCGTCGGACCGTCCCTCCATCCATCCATCCATCCGTCCATGAATGTATATGTAGAAAGCACTTGCATGTTTACCGTCCATTTTATGCCTGAAAATACAGAAAAGTCACAAACAAAGTAAACACAACAACAACACATATAAGTCAACACAAGTTAGCATACATTTATGCTTGTCTACATATGTAAATATAAACATGAATCTAAATAGACATATACAGATTAGGTAAAACATACACACGTGCATGGGACCATCTTCTGGCGAGATGCAACGCTACTGAACATCGCAGATTACACCACCACCATAATGTATATTGCTGCCATGCCACCCCGCGCAGCCCATCCCTTGGCAAAGAGCCCACGAGCTGCAGGGCGAGTTCCCAAGCAGCACCCTGGCAGGCCCAAGGCGGTCTAGAGTTTACCTGGACCCTACCCAGGGGCCCCAAAATAGTTCCTTTTTGGCTGTGTCCTCTTTTTTAGTTAGGGACTTTGATATACGACCTAAAAAGGAACTACTTTGGTGCCCCTGGGTAGCAACAATATACGAGTCAGGGCGCATGTCATGATTTCTGTATATACGTGCATCAACAGGTAAAGATGTTTCGGGTTTCGGGTTCAGGTAGGGTTTAGAAGTTTACTGGTTTGGTGTTGAGGGTTTCAGGCATAGGGTACATGGCGTTACGTGAGAGTTTAAGTTCAGAGTTTTGACTTAGGTCTGATAGGGATTTGGGTGCAGGGGTCGTATATATCTATATGAAGCTGTATGGTTCAGCCAAGGAGGCAACAAAGGACAAGGCCACTGAGTGTGGTAATTTAATTGGCTGCATTCCTTTGAGCACAGCACAAAGGGAAATACTGAAGACAACATGAATGAACAACTGAAAAGGGTCATGCGTAGGTGCCAAGCGACATGTCTGTGACATCGCAGAACAAGAACCGCCTACATACCCTCTGTGCCAGGGGCCTTCAAAGTGCATACCCAAAAGAAACGCTAACCATAGACTTAGACCGCTGGGATAAGGTTTCGGGTTACATTCTCGTGCAAATATGCACGGTTTGTAAGTTAGAAGAGAACATTGGCTATCATGACCCTCGGTGCGAAAACAGGAAAACATGGAGTCATACTCACATACCACACCAGTCTGCGGGACCTGCTCGCAGGCGCTAAGAGCGGCAGAATAACTGGAGATGTTGCGCTGAAGCTTGACCTTTCAGGGATATGGGTTAGGAGTTAGGGTTTGGGGGTTTTGGGGTTTAGGGTTCAGGGTTTAGGGTACAGTGGGGTACTGCCCCCATACGGTAACAGTCCACAACAGGGCTACTATTAAGGTCCTAGTACATCTATATGATGAGCATTATTCAACTGTTACTGAGTGGGGGCAGTACCCGACCGTTTAAAGAGAGATGGGACTGGTTTCGGGTTTGGGGCTTCAGGGTTTCATACGGCTGATGATCTAAATCCTGCATTACCCATAATGAGGAATATACCATATAATTCCCATAGTCTAGGGTCATTAAGGTAATGCAGGATTCCGATCATCAACCGTTTCCGTGAACCCAAGTACCTAATTTGGGGATCCTTTGGGCCCTTAAAGTTCCAGCTCGTATAGGGTTTAGGGATCTAAGCGACCGTAAGGCTTAGGGCTTTGCTTTTCGAAGGGGATCGGACTTCGTCTCTCTTCTCCAGCATCCTGCGATGAGGCTCAGGCGAATCTTTGAAGTAACCAGGGAGAAAAAGGTATAGACTTTGATTTCATAATGGCTCCTTTAAGGAACAGGTACTCAAAACAGTATTCAAGTATGGTACTCCAAACCTAGAATTAATGAACACGTGGCAAAAATGTGCGGGACGAAGCAGCGCAACTTTGACTGCCATTATCTCCTGATATAAAGCCTGCCTTCAACAAGCAGAAACCTCTTCCTTGGGATTTCATCGCACCCCGCAGCAGAGCAGGTAAGACTTTGCCCACACATGCAAAACAGGTGACTGGCAGAGATGCCTGAGTCTAAGCATCAGCAGAACAAAACGTTTGTTCTCGATCTGCATCGCAGCTCAAGGCGCATGAAAACCAGGGCAGCTGAACTCCGTTCACCACAAGCGGTCCAGCTGAGCATGATTCCCTGAAGTTTGCACATTCCAATTACCTTGCTGCATGGACTGCACATCCAAGCCCTAACCCCCAAAACCTCCACACTAAACCCCAAAACCCCGACAAAATAAGTGCCTTCGGCATGGTGTCGAAGAAGTGCAGGGCCAGCTGCCACTGCCCGCCTTTCTCGCAAGCGCTGATGGCGGCACTGTAACCTCAGCGGCTACGCCATAAGACTTCCTGAAGGGTTCGACTTGCACGAATAAGAGTTACAGAAAGTGCTCCATAAAGGTTGCTACCATTTTTACTACACGGGTTACTGTGAGGGCTCTACAAAGATTACTGTCAGGGATACTATAATTGGGTTACTGTGAGGGTCACGATACAGTTTCTATAACGGCTACTATCAGGTTTCTATCCTGCGCAAAGCTTTTGGGGGGAGGAGCATTGTAATGTAGAGGAGCAACAGCCGAAACTAAACTCACCGAGCAGCTGATGGTGTTCGGCTCGACGTCGGCTTCAGGCATGTCATTGAAGAGCTGCAGAGCCTGGAGATCTGGGTCAAGCATTCCTAAACCCTAAACCCTAAATTCCCTATATACCAGGACCCCCCGATGGCCAGAACCCTTATGGTCCCCAATAGTGGGTATTAGGGGTATATTAGAGGGTAGTTGGGGGGCTTAAGTAGACCTTAAACCCTAAACCCTGAACCCCCAAACCCCAGAATCTCTAGAATAAGGGCTCCCGGTACTTAAAAAGTAGGCCGCGACGGCCGGCCCGCAAGCCATGTACCTCAAAACCCGAAGCCTAAACCGCAACACCTCAACTAAACACTAAGCCTAAGAACTAATAGCATCACCTTCGGCACAAAATCCTTAACCTTCTCCGGCTTGAAGCCCTTGGGATAGGTGTCGTGTGTAAATGTGATATAGCGACGTATTTGTAAGAACAGGGTCTGTGGGTTGATTGCAGCGTAAGTAAGGACCCCTTAAGGAATACTACTAGGAGGCCCAGTAACCTAGGAAGAAACAAGGGCTCCCTTGTTGATATTGGGTAACTTTAAAGGGAACCTAGGACTACAAAAGAAGAAAGGGCACCACTGTGCATCCTAGACTATTGGTGGTGATCCACCCAGGCTTCCGTATCATATTTGTCCCCACCCCCTGCCCCGATAGTAACCCAAACCCAGGAACGCGCAGAGTAGCCATGTGTAGTAGCTCACGAAGCCTTCTCTATATATATATATATATATATATATATATATAATATCCTCACACAAATTCTACTCGAATCATCAGAAAGCCTTCTTAGCACCCTTACAGCGCTTCTTCATCGAAGCAATCTTTCGAGGACAACTTAGCTTTAGGGTTTCTGTTTTAGGGTTTACCTGTATCCCCAAACCCCGCGAAATGGTAGGTTGTGATCCCTTGAACAGACCCTGAAAGCAATAGGTTTGTGGATCCACAGGTGGGATGTGAACCCTGAAACATAAAACTGCTAGCCTAACGCCCTAAACCCTAAACAGCCCTGAAACCCCAAACCCTAAACCCCATACCCTAAACTGCCCTAAACCCTAAACCTCTCATAGAAGCCTTACAGATCCCTTTAAAAGAACCCTTATGGACCCTTCGGTTTAGGCCCGTCAGAACCCGGGGCCTTCTGCCAGGCCCCGCTCTTCTCGCAGGCGCTGATAGCAGCGCTGAAGCCTTTGTTCCCAGACCCCCCAAAAGTTCCTATAAAGTACCCTTAGTAGTATAGGGCCCCAAATCAGGGGATCTACTTTCTAGATCCTCCCGGGGGTCTGGGTTGGCTCTGTCTGCGGTCTTGAAGGGTTTTAGAGGGGGTTGTAGAGCTGAGGGTTTTGAGGTTTAGGGTTTTGAATTTAGGGTTTCAGAGGATGGTTTTTAACTTTTGGGTTTTAGGGTTCGCGCCTTGAACTTAGGGTTTAGGGTTGGAACAAAAACTTGCGGGGAGTCTAGGATGGGACAGGCTTCTTCTCGTCTTCAAAGGAAACTCTGGCTTTAACTTAACGAATCCGGAGGCTTGAAACAAAGCTCTGCAGGAATTAGAACAGTTCCACCATAGCTGTATAGAGCTTTCTGAGGCCATAACTGAATTGTTATCGAGCTTGAATAAGCGTTCCGTCGGGTCTAGGGTGTGGTCTCGAACCATATGTGCACAAGCACTTTGTAGTTCGAGCCAGGCCAGAATGCAGACACTGTGGGCCCGCGACCTTTCTTGAAGGGCCGCACGGCCGCAATCCTATTGTCCCTAACATCATCCCCGTCAAGGAAAACAGCGAATTACTTATTATCAATAATTCCCTTAGTCTAGTGTCATTAGGGTGATACAGGATTCATAATATCATCCACCCCTGAATCCTGAACCCTAAACCACAAACCCAAACCCTAACCTCAAACCCTAAACACCCTAAACCTTAAACCCTAAACCTTAAACTCTGGAGCCTTCAACCCTAAACCTTGAACTCTGGAGCCTTCAACCCTAAACCTTAAACCCCAAACCTTAAATTCTGGAGCCTTCAACCCTAAACCTTAAACCCTAAACCTTAAACTCTGGAGCCTTCAACCCTAAACCTTAAACCCTAAACCTTGAACTCTGGAGCCCTCAACCCTAAACCTTAAACCCTAAACCTTGAACTCTGGAGCCTTCAACCCTAAACCTTAAACCCTAAACCTTGAACTCTGGAGCCTTCAACCCTAAACCTTAAACCCTAAACCTTAAACTCTGGAGCCTTCAACCCTAAACCTTAAACTCTGGAGCCTTCAACCCTAAACCTTAAACCCTAAACCTTGAACTCTGGAGCCCTCAACCCTAAACCTTAAACCCTAAACCTTGAACTCTGGAGCCCTCAACCCTAAACCTTAAACCCTAAACCTTGAACTCTGGAGCCTTCAACCCTAAACCTTAAACCCTAAACCTTGAACTCTGGAGCCTTCAACCCTAAACCTTAAACCCTAAACCTTAAACTCTGGAGCCTTAAAGCCTAAACCTTAAACCCTAGACCTTAAACCCTAAACCTTAAACCCTAAACCCTAAACCTTAAACCCTAAATTCAACCGCAGCATGCCGAGGAGCTGATGACATTCGGCGTGAGGAGCGCTCCTGAGCACTTTTTGCCGAACTAAAGAAGCTTCAAGGTTCCCTTACGGGGGTTCCTTTAAAGGGATCTATAAGGGTACCTTCAAGGGGCTCCTTTAAGAGATCTATAGAAATTTCGGGTTTAGGGTTGATGATATAAATCCTGCATTACCTTAAGGACCCTAAACTATGGAAATTATGGTATACTCCTTATTATGGGTAATGCAGGATGTTCAAGGTTCCCTTACTTGGAGGGTCGGGGGACTTAGTAACTGGTTCAGGAGCCTCCGTAAACCCTAAACCCTTAAGGGAATACAAATCTCGACGTAATTCTAACGGATCCATGATCCCAAAGGGTCCTACGTACTTGGAGGGTCGGGGGACGTAGTAACTGGTTATTTTAAGGACTTATAAGTACCATAACCCCAATTAGGTTCCCTTTTAGGGTACTTATAAGTCTACTTACTACCTACTTACTAAGTCCCCCGACCCTCCAAGTACGGGTGCTATAGGCGTACGATCGAGGCTCCTTTAAAGGATCGATTCTATAAGGGAGTCAGGGTTTAGGGTCTAGGTTCAAAACTGCTGGTTTAGCGTCAAGGGTTTCAGGGTTCAGGGGTTGGTGCTGCTGGTTATTGTTGTTGTTGGTGGTGGTGTAGTTGCTGTAGATGTAATTGCTGTAACTGTAGCTGTAGTTGTAGGTGCTGCAGCTGTAGTTATAGTTGTAGTTGTCTTTGTCGTTGTAGTTGTAGTTGCTGCGGTTGTCGTTGTCGTTGTGGTTGTTGTTAATGTTGCCGTTACTTCTGCCGTTGCCGTTGTGCCGTTGTTGCCGCTGTTGCTGCTGTTGCTGCTGTTGCTGTTGTTGCTGTTGTTGCTGTTGTTGCTGTTGTTGCTGTTGTTGCTGTTGTTGCTGTTGTTGCTGTTGGTTTTGCTGCTGCTGTTGCTGTTGGCGTTGCTGTTGCTGTTGTTGCTGTTGCTTTTTATTGTATTTTATGTATTGTTGCTGTTGTTGTTCTTGTTGCTTGGTGCTTGTCGTGGTGGTGGTGGTGGTGGTGGTGGTGGTGGTGGTGGTGGTGGTGGTGCTGGTGGTGGTGATGGTGGTGGTGGTGGTGGTGGTGGTGGTGGTGGTTGCGGTGGTGGTGGTGGTTGTTGTTGCTGTTGCTGTTGCTGTTCTTCATGATGCTGTTGCTGCTGGTCGTTGTGTTTGCCGATGTTTAAGGGCTGTGCAAAGTTTAGAGGAACACAGCTTGAGTCATCGCCATAGGCATATGCACGTGCGTACGCATGTGTGTGGATGTGTATACAGACATTAAATACATACATACATAATTTCATATATATATATAGAGAGAGAGAGACAATGTGTAACTATGTGTATATACATAAGTGTATACATACACACCTGTTTATATATCTATATATATATATATACATATAGATATAGATACACCAAAAATGTAAAACTGTGCGTATATACATATGTGTATACATACACACCTGTGTATATATATATATATATATACATATGCAATCATACATACTTACACTTACACATACACATGCATGTTGTATATGTGTAGAGTATACTGTATATACATATCTTACATATGTAGAACAAGAGAGAACCCCTAAACCCTAAACCGTAATCATGGCAGTACTGTGTGATCCTGCACATTTTAAGGTAACATACACCAAGTTCTTTCAAGAGAGCCCAGGTTCGTGGGATGGTATGGAAGAGCTGCAGAGCCATCTGCCATTGACCTCCCTTCTCGCAGGCACTGATCCTTAGCTTCTTTAAGGTGTTGGGCTCTTGGTCGAAGCCTGAGGAATTCAGAAGTTTAAGGCTATAAAGATGTCTTACTTCTGGAACCCCATGGACTCCAGTAGGGAATCATTGGACTCACAGAGACTAGGAGTTCAGAGGCATGCGTCGCGGAGCCGAAGGTGACGATGGTGGGGGCGAGCTTGGCCCGTGGAAGGGCCGAGAAGAGCAGCAATGCCTGTTACGAGTGTAATATGAGCCTAAACCCTAAACCGCTGTAAGTTATAAGGTCTTACCGGGTTCTATAATACGGTGTAGGGTTTAGGGTTACTACAGGCTTCCAAGAGAAGCGATCGAGTATGAAATGGCTTAGTGTCAGGAGGGTTGGGGGCTTTTGGAATTAATATAGGGACCTAGTAATTTCAATAGGGTTTTGGGACCCACTGTACTATGATTATAACAAGGACGCCCCCGAAATAGTGTAGGTAGTTGTTTAGGCCCCTATAGTAGGTGCTTTATTCTGGTTGGACAGTCCAATGCGAGCACATCGAATGATGCCAGTGGCCCAAACAGGTGCTTCATGAAATCTCGACATATCGTCCCTTTCTCGAGACCCGTCTGAAAAGCGACCAACCGCATTTGATGCTCGTTGTCACGGGTTTCCAGACCCTAATCTCCTCTAACCCTAAACCGAAAACCCTAATGTAGGAACCTGATTAAGAAACCGGCCTATAACTCCAAAATAGTAGGATTCAAACAAGGAACCCCAAAAAAGACCCAAGGTTTCTTAATCAGGTTCGTACATTAATCTTTAACCCTAAACCCTAAACTAAACTGTGAAGCGGCCTGCTGCCACTTCCCGGCTTTCTCGCATGCAGTGATGGTGGAGTTGTAGCCTAGGTAGGACAAAGAGACCGGATCGCTGCAGAGTCAATGTAGACACCTGAACCATGACACCTTTCTTTAAATGTTCTAGCAATTCTGGTATTGGGATTCCCATTGCAAGCTATGTATGGTTGTTAAGAGAGAGAGAGAGAGAGAGAGAGAGAGAGAGAGAGAGAGAGAGAGAGAGAGAGAGAGAGAGAGAGAGAGAGAGAGAGAGAGAGAGAGAGAGAAAGAGAGAGATAAATTTCTTATGCAGGGTTTTTACTGCTAGAAAAAGGACCTCGTCCTCACCCTACCTCAAGGCTGTAGCATCGTGCTAGGAGTTGAGGCAATGGAGGATTTAGAACGTCTCCTTTAATCAACAGACCCGGTCAACAAGGCTTTAGACATAGGCTAATCATGAGTTCATTAAACTAGGTGAAAAGATCTCGAGCTCTCCAGTGTTTGGGGTGCGTGGGACGGGGTTCGCTGTGGTTCAAAATCAACCCTGACGCATCGCGGGAACGAACCGAACGCAGCTCCCCTTTGTCGAAGCCCCATTTAACATCTGAGAAACCTGAAGACCTCCTTGACTCTTACACCCAGCAAAGCTAGGCTCAAAACCAGGAGCCCCAATCTCTTCAAGCAAACACCACAAACGCCCGAACGCCACACTCGCACCACGCCGAACCGCCCTGACTCCGGCAAGTGGCTAATTGCATTTGGGGAGAGGTGCGCGGTGGGCATGGACTCCAAAAGGCCCACTGCCAGAGGCCACTTGCTGCCTGTGTAGGGTTAAAGTTGAACTGGGTTGTAGTTTTGGTGCTCTGAAAAGTATTTATGAATAGGTACCTCTATAGGAACCATATGGCAAATTAAAAGGTTTCCCAAATTGCCACCTAGTGAAGTAGAGTCTGATTAAGCAGAATGTTTGTGTATACCGGAGTCCGGATGCCTACGTAATCGAGCATAAGTGGAATGGCCCTATGGCTCCAAGTACCTGACAGGCATATACTCGCTGAAATAATTTCCAATTTACAACTGTCTAAAGCGCCGAACTGGCCCAAAGCACTACACTCCTACCCTTAGCGCCCAAGCTCTCCTTCTTCAGGGCCTCTGGGGCATTTTGGGTGCCAAGAACCATAAACAAGGAGTGCTTGGACCCTTCGGGCCGGAAGAAAGGTTGACCAGGAACTGTTAGCTGGCCCTCTTCTTCAACAGCCGGGCCCAAAAAAGTTCAAACTTTCTAAGATAGAGCTCATATAGAAGGCAAAAAAGTGTAAGGTTCCCCAGTTCACTCTCTGAGACTCCTAAGGGCCCATGTACTTGGGGGATGTATACAATCGTCGTGAAGCACGTTTATGAGAATGTCTTCAAGGTCAAAGCATGACATCACAGGTACATGGACCCTATAGAGCGCTGAAGCCTCAACCCCAAAACAGCAAGCCTTAGAGAATTGGTTCAAGACTCAACCATAAGCCCTACAAAGTCTAATACCGTAACACCCCAACCCAGAGGGTCCAAAAACAAAAGCCATTCAGACCCCAAGCCCTGCTGATAGGGCTCTCGGACCCTTAGGGCGAGTGATTGAAACCAACCCAGCATCCTGAACGAGTTTACAGGGATGTAGAAGGCTGTCTAAGACTGAATGCAACAAGAAAATAGGGATTTCCCCTGTAGTATTTTAGGGCTTGAAGGTGATGATTGATGGAAGAACCCTCGCTTACGCCTTTGGCGCATGAGCTCAGGGTGGCATTGTAGCAGACGATGTCGGGCAACACAGCCTTGGATGTTTTAGCCACTACTACAGAGGCCCTGAAATTGTTTCGGATAACGTCCTGGGTTACAACAATTATATACACTAATATACTATGGGTATATATAGATATATACATGGGAACCCGACACAATACTATTACTGAAGCCCTGAAGCCGAACTATGCAATACCTACTGCTTTGTAGGGTCACTATAAATTCCATATTAGGGTTTACAATAAGAACCTACATCAAAGTTGGTTCTGGTAGGTTAAGCTATTGGCTTGGATGAGCGCGAAGTTGAACAGTCCCGCAACCCCGGCCTTGACAGCAAACCGTACTGTAGCCAGGGCTTTCGAGTACCATAGCTTTTAGGGGTTTCAGGTTTAGGGTTCTCAATCTGAAGTCTTCTACTTACCTTGGATGAGCTAATCCTTGAAGCCTAAACTTAAACTTATAAACCGCCCAATCCCAAGTTTCCAGATGGTAGTCGCGAGCTTTCGGACGCAAAGGAATTTGGGAAGCTCCGAATCCTGAATTTCAAACCCGGCCTTGCAAGCTGGGTCGGAAGGAGCTATCCTAAACTCTGAACACCAAGTCCCAAGCCCTAAACGCTAAACTCTAAAGGCTGAAATCGCGCCGCGCTTGACGAGTAAACCGCAAGCCCTTCTACGTGCAAACCACAGACTCCAAACCTGCGAATGCAGAAGACCAATGTCGGAAACTCTGAAATCAGAAAACAATCAACTCTGAAGCCCAAAACCCTATCCAGAAACACTAAAATCCTAAAAAATGAAGCTCTGAATCCCTGAATGCCCAAACCCATTTATGCAAGCTGCAGCATCGGGTAAGTCATGGAAGAAGGCCTCAGATGCACTCGGCAGCATGCGGGGTCTCTCCAGGGACCCAGAAAGCTCAACACTCCTAACAAGGAGTATACCTCAAAAATTTAGGGGCCTGAATATTCTGATTTAGGGTATATTCCTTGGTGAAGGGGTGTTGGTCTCTCTGGGCGGGTCTTCTCCACAGAATCACGGTCACAAGTACCCTAAAGCAGGCTTGGGATTTGGAGTTTAGGGTTCAGGGTCGGAAGGTTTGGGTAGTGTAGCTTTATGCGAAGAGCCCATTTTCTCCTGCAGCAGATTGCTGGGTGTGGGCCACACGGTGTGGGGTACTATGAGCTCGTCTATGGCTTAAGGAGGAAGAACCAGCTGTAAAGGTACGTGGGGTCGGAGAGTCTATCCCTAATGGTCTCAAAGAACCCGAGAAGAAGGAACCACGGGTTCAAGATGGCAAGAGTAGTGTTTGGAGGAGTCGATATTACTACTGAGTACTTGGACCCTGGCACGGTCTGGAAAGCATTATTTGGGATCCGTGGGTTTCAACTTCTTTTGATTTACCAGAATGCCACAATATAGGAACCTTAATTCTATAATTAATTTTCCCGGGACAAATTCTAAATATTGATACTTATTAGGGAGGTACTGTCATAGCCATAGCTGTTCCCATTTCCAAACTCTATCCTCCCCCGCCCCCCTGTGGTGTGGGGCCTGTGGTGGTACTCTTCCCGCCCCCGCGGACCCTTCCCGTGCGCATCTTTCGCGTCCGCCGTTCTGGAAGTTCTTGTGTGATGCTCCTTATCTTTCTTCTTGCACAGGTAACCCTAGACCGACACACCCCTAACTGCTAAGCCCGTAAACCCCTGAAACCCTATGTTAACCCTGAGCCTTCAACTCTAAACCGCTAAACCCCTAAATCCGTAATTCCCTAAACTACTCAAGAACACCTGAACCCGAAACCCCTAAACCTGAAACCCCTAAAGCCCAAATCCCCTAACCCCTAAACCCCTAACCACCCAAACTCCTGAACCCTAAACCCCTAAACTCCCTAACCCTGCACTCCCCCCCTAAACCCCCTACACCCCTGAACCCCTACACCCCCCCAAAAGGTCCACAGTACCTATATGGTAGAATGTAGGGTTTCCATCTTAGGAATTACTGTTGTGATTTGGGGAAGTATCGCCCATAACAGTACCTGGGACCCTCTTGGCTCCTCCTAAACCCCGAAATCTCCCCTAAACCCTATAGAACCCTTATGAATCCCGTTAAAGGAACCTTTATAGATCCCTTTAAGGAAACCCTACTCCGCAAACTCTCCCCCAAAACAAGAGCCGAGCCGGGGTGCCAGGCCTTGAGCCCACCAGGTGGCGCGGGCGCAGGCAGAGATCCCCTCCGTGAAGTGCATGAGACCCAGCTTGGCACCTTTTGGGGTTTCGGATGGCTTTACGGGTTCCGGGTTTAGGGCTGCTAGGGTTTAGGTAGGGGTTTCGGGTTTTAGGGGGTTTTGAAAGGCTCAGGGCTATGAGTGATAGGGATTTAGGGGTTCACGGCTTCGGGTTGCGGGCCTCTCATAGGGCGAAGGGGTGCTCCTTTTCAGGTTTCTTTTGAGGGCACCTTCCAAGGGGTCCTATAACCCCAAGGGTCCATGCACTTAAATAGGATTCCTTTACGGGTTCTTTTGAGGGTGCCATAAGGGCTCCCTAAAGGGGTCGATAGGGTCTAGGGTGAAAGGGATGATGTAGCGGCCCTAATCATGAGAATGGGGTTGTGGGTTTATTTGTTGTACCACAATTTTCATCCGAAAAACACTCCAACCTAAACCCTAAACCTGCTGACAGTTGGCCCATGAATTCCAACTTCTCCCCGGCAAATTGAAGCTCAAAGCCCAAGCCGTCACCCTAAATCCTATACACTGTTTACATTTCCTACACTTCTAAGCCCGAAAGCCTACGCTCAGGACCCCCAAAATAGCCTCTTATTTCTAAATTATTTTCTCACGAAAAGATCGTCGCCATAGATAAGCACAAGTTGTCCACAAAAAGGTACTACATTCTATGTGGGGCCTGTACAAGACCCGTAGACCCAGGCAAAAACACTCTCTGTCTTATCCCCTTGGGCTTACATTACCCCCAAAGGTCTGAGTGCCCAAATAGTAAGCTTTAGGTCCCAAGATACTATACTCTGAGTCGGTTCCGTTACCTAAAACCAAAGAGGACAACCCATTTGCTAAGTCTTAAGCTCTCTATAAGCCTATGTCGAAACCCTGCAAGCCTGTGAATGAAACCTGATGGAGGTAAACCCTAAGATCCATGCAGCCGAAGCCCCTAGCAACCTATAAACTCGTGTAAACCCTACAAAACTACAACCTAAACCATAAGACCTTAAATTAGCTTCAACCCTATATAGACCCTAAAAACCCTCTCTCCAAAATCCTGCAACATGACCCTAAACCCCCATACTCCCCAAAAGCCCTACGTGATTCTAAACCCATTTTAAACCCGCTCAACCCTTAACAGCCCAGGGGCGTGGTTCTGCTTTCAGGAGGTCCAATAACTCGCAGGCAAGATCGACCCGCTTTCTGGCACGGAGCTCCTCGTCCGCTCGGATCTAGGGGCTCCTTTAAGGGTATACCACTATCTACTGTAAAGGTCCCCGTAAGGATACTATGGGGTTTGTAGGGTGGCTTAGAGGCTTTGGGTTTAGGGTGTTAGGCTTCGGTTGTTATTTTTCGTTTGACGTTCTGCTTCTTAGGCTTACCCTTGGGCTCTAAGGACTCATATTTCAAGGCTTTTGGGCCCAAAGACCACGCTACATCAGGCTTTTGGGCCAGTTTGAGCCTTCGTGTTAGGGTTTAGAGGTGGGGTTTGCATGTCTACGTGGGCTAAGAGTGTTGATCTGCATAGGCCTAAGACGAGGGCTCTAAGACATCGTTTTTGTTGATTAGGGTTCTAGGGGATTAGGGTTTAGGGTATTTGATGGCTTGTGGGCCTAAAGACCGTGCTAAATCAGGTTGCAACATATTTGGAGCCTGTTTCGAGCCTGAGGATGCGGTAACGAGAACGTGAGAATAGATGCAGTGGTTCAGAGCGCTCCCAGCGAGATTAGCTTCACCTCAACCCTAAGGCTCGAGATAACGCCAAAGCCTTATATTGTATGGTCTTTGGGCCCAAAAGCCTTAAAATATGAGTCCTTAGATCCCTAAACCCTACCTAGGGTTTCTTTTGTAATGTTTATTTGTGTAACGAAATATTTCGGTTACGTTTCATGGGTTTGAGGCCGTTTTGGGATTTCCGGCCGGATGCACCAAAAAGAGGCCGATGCTCATGATGTTCAACTCGTTGGTTCATTATTGGACCCATAGGAGGCTGATATCTGTCACTTAAGATCTATTTGTGCGTGATATTTCTTTTGGGAAGGATTGTGCATTGCATGCTCGCCCTCCCCTCCCACAACATACATGTGTACACAAGCCGGCGCTATTTTCGGGAGACCGCGGACGAGCTCTTTCCTCTACGTCCTTTGTTTCGCCGGACACTCAGCCAAAGAGCTCCCTCCACTGGCGCTTGTAATGCAACAGAGATCGCTGCAATGTTCTGAGCACTTTGGTACCGGCTGCACATTTTCGACTCATGCGGCTGATCCGGCCGATGAAATCTTCATCTGCCCAGGTAGCCCAGCCTTGAGTCTTCGTATCAGCAAATTGAAACTATATAAGTACAGGTAGCATGATATTTTCTCGCAGACGAGCAACACTGGACATTGAGGATGAACTCGGCACCAGTGTTCATTTGTCTTTCCAGCTCCCAACTCAGCTTGGAACCAAGCTAGCTAGCAAGAAACTGCAATCTTACCCGAACAGACCAGCTACTTGAAAGATAAGGCTATAGCAAACGAGCTTCACTAGCTCTGCCTGCATGTGTAGCTTGGGACGCATCTTAAATAAGGCCCACTGTCGGTCTGCACATTTCCTCGCAAGTCGTTGGTATCCATCCTTTGTGTCACCCGACGGCCCAAGAACACAAGCTATAGCTTGAAACAATATATAGAACAAAATTTAGATGTGCACGAGACCTATATACGAGGACCATATATCACCCCCAAACAGCTAGCTAGCTTCCAAAGACAATGATCACACTAGCACCAACAAGGCCGAAAGACCAGCATCTTCCATCCGGCCTCTACACAGAGAAAGGCCTGCTCTCGGGTTTGAAAGATCCCTGTTTTGTACGAGGTCCGAAAGTGTTGTCCAATGGCTTGAAGGGTCCATCTTAGCAGTCGGAAGAGCACCACATCGCCGGGATCCTGGGTTTGGGTTGGGGCACTAGTTACATTTTTAAATTGGCTTGGGATGTATAGGGTTTGCTGGATAGGAGTTAGTGTACTAGTTGCATCGAAAACACAATTGTGGATTCATCAATGGATAACACCAGGTCTTCCAGCCAAGCATTCATAAGGGCACAGTCGTGGCCTTTGCCACAGCCAGCAGGAAACTCCTTCAGCCTTTGTAGAGATCCAAGATCTATAGTCAGCTACAGCATAGCCTAAGGGCCCTTAAGTTACATTATACGATCTGGACTTTGGGGCTGGGGTATAGTCGATCTAGATGCTGGCAGTGTACTAATTATAGAACAATTTCAACACTTATAAATTCTGGCATATTGGGCTCCAAAATACGATGAAATCCGGAGGGTCCCCAGATCGAAATGCGTGATCGATGTAGATTTCCCACGGCGCTGGCAATACTGCTTGAATGATACATAGCCTTCATCAAGGGCTTCCTGTAATGAGTGTCCACGCAATACCTGTAGCCGTACGAGTAAAACAAGGGAGCTGCCGCAAAAATCTTTCCCCCACCCGTTGATGGCATACGTGTGTGCAGGATCCACACGGATCGTGGTAGCATCGCTCCCAATCGTTTCCAGCCGTCTCAAAGGCGAAGGCTCCCCAAGTTTGAATGGGTCGGCAGTGACCTCTTCATGCCCACTAGCCAAAGCATCACGGGAAATATCGAACCATTCCTGTGTTCCATTAAATTAACACAGCCTACCGGCTTGGTTGTATTAATATGCAAACCTCGACAAGCTTCATTATAGTTCCGAACTAGACCTAACACCCATGCATATGCTACAGGCCGATACTATGACCAATCGTTGAGTTTAGGGCTTGGGCTTGCTAAGCTATATGGGGGAACAATATATTTCAAGTACTGCTGCAAAGTTTCTTGGTTGCTGCATAGGTGGCACACCCTTTTGGATGTAAAACCAGTAGCTAACTTCGAAGCCTTCCGCAAAAATGGCCAATCACCTTTCAGCCCAATACAGACCAGTCTGAAGTCCATCTGCTGGCCTTCGTGCTCTACCTTACCATGCAGTAGCTATACGATATGAATATATAAGAGTCTAGACTATATATAGATTAAATGTACACAGCTAGCTGTTATGAGTTCAGCTATCGATTGCAAAGTAACACTCAGCCCATCTTCATAAAGTCGGTGCAGGTCATCTGCCAGGGCAGACAGCAGAGCATCGAGACTCAGGTCGTTCCAGTAAAGTTCTGATGGGATCACGGTGAACAGGAGTCTCGTCGTCAGGGAGTTCCTAGTATTGGCGGCTCTTGCACTATAGGGCTCAAAAATGTTTGTGGGGTTCTAGGTTGAGGATTTTGGGGTTAGGGTTTCAGTTAGCTTGGAACTCGGATAAGCAGCCCACTTGCATTAATGTGCTCCATGCCCTGCCATCCGACCAGTGGTTGTATGGATAAGCACATTATGGGACGCTTGCAGCTGCCTCGTCCTTCATCCCCATGAATGAGAATTGGAATGGATCGTCGTGCAACCTGATCATAGTCTGGCCGATGCAAGAAGGGACAATCTGGTCTGAGGTCTTTGTATCTTTTCCAAAAGCCAGCAAGCATCTCCTCAAAACGAGGCCCTGAATCAAGACAATGTCCTCCGAGGAAAGCTTCCCCTCCAATAGAGAGTGAATATTCTAGCCAGGATGATGGCAACACAGATGCAAACTCCATATCGACTTTCCTGACACGGCACTTCATGACCTTGCGGATTGGTGCCACTATAGCATCCACTTTCACTGGAAGACATCGTCCTTCTTTGTGAATAAGCGCGTGCAGATTCCGAGAGGCGTTGATCCCCCCACAGGCAGCCAGTCGATTCAGAGTTTTGTCTGGTGCTCCTTAAGGAGGATGCTAATAACCATATATGAAAGCTGCTAGGATTTTGGGTTTGGGGTTTGGGGTTCTAGGAAGGCAAACAAAATTTAGCATAATCGTTGAAACCTAGGTATACGATTCCCCTATGTAAATTAAGCCTGGGGACCAGCTTTCCGTAGCTTTCTCGAAGCAACTTGGGCTAGATGAACAACACGTCGAGCACTCTCTGCCTGAAGTTCTATCTACACTCGAGCTGTCGCATCTAGATTCCAGAAAACCCTACGGCAAACAAAGAGTACTTATCAACAATTGCCATGCAGTACAAGCCACCCCTACTTCGAAACCCGCGAACAGCTCACCAGCCAGGTCATCATCTGTATCCTCCTCCTCGTCGCTGGCATTGTCAGAACCTCCCAGGACACTTTCCGATCCAGCTATTCCAGCGGTCCGGGTTTATCTTAGTAGGTCCAGGGCTTTACATAGGTCGACGGGATCGAGGCTTTGGTTCGTTTCGGTTTACGGGGCTAGGGCACAAAGGTTGTGCTATATAAGGGTCATGCTGGAGGCTTTGGGCTGTAGATCGGGTTCGGGATAGGGTTGGCTAGGGCGGCTAGGAGATTGCATGTTTGGAGGTCAAAGACCGAGGGCTATGGAACATAGGACCGACCAAGCTAGGGCGGCACGTGGGTTTAAGGGGCCCGGGTTCTCAGGTACTGGCGATTTGAAGTTTGGGAATTGGGCTTTGCACTTTAATCGGATGAAGACTTTCGGTGCCTGAGTGCTTAGGGCTAGGGCCATCGAAGTTGGGGAATATAGGCTTAAAAATTAGGGTTTCGGGTTTAGGGTTTAGAGCAAGTTCCACGTTTGAATTTTGCTATTGTCACGTAGCACGGTTTGAGGTTATAGTATTTTGGCTTTGGGGTTTATAGGATTTGTCGATGTTAATTGTTAACTAATTAAATAATGGGCTAGGGTACAGATGGAGGTTCGAGGAGTTTGTGCCTTGGAATACATAGTATAACAGAGGCTGGAACAATTAATAGCTATATAAGCCCCACCATTGCAACAACCCGGGTATCGTTACGGTGTCCATCGGCAATCCATCATATGGCCAGCCTGACACGTGTCCAGCATTTGCCAGCCAACCTGCGTGCGAGCATCGGATCGTTATTATTGACATGATAAAAGCAGAGTGCAATGGGTTCTAACATCGATCATATGCTTCACAGGACTTTTCAGCGGTCACACAGCTTTTGATACCCCAGCAGCGACCTTGGACCTAGCAGGCACAGCACATATTGTAGGCACCGTGCCCTAGGATCAGTATTCGAAGAGTGCGACAACAGCCGACACAGGGCACCAACCGAAGCTATGTGCAAAGCTGCAGAGCTAGTGAGTTGCGAACATGCATGCATTGTATTAGC